TAAGTGCGCTAGACAGTGAGAGAGACAGACGGAGTCGAAGCAGTAGTGGAGACGAAGACGTAGCGGAGACGAAGCAGGCAGAGAGAAAGAAAGACAGCGATTACGGTCGGCGGGAACTGAGGATAGCAGACACAGAGATCGGAACTATAGTTTGCGGGGACGGACAATTAAGTCCAAGCACAATAGAAAGTGAGTGAATTGTTGTGAACTATAGTGTGTGTAACTGTGAAAATTAAGTACATTACAAAGTTGTATTGAGGAAGAATAAACAAGTTTTATAAAGAAAGGACTTGTATCTTAGAAGAATTAACAAAGAAACAAACAGAGACGTAACAATAGGTTTCTTTTTAGTGAGTGTAAAACAAGTAAATACACCAGTTTGATTTTTGTTACATATCTGTTTTGTTATTCTTTGTGCCTATGTGACATCTTTTGCTAATAAATGGATTTTAGTAGTGCTGTAGTGGAATTGTCATGAGTTTTCTTGAATGATAAAGCAACACAATTAATAGCAGACTAATAGTACAGTGATAAAACTTTTCATCACTCTTTTATGCTAACAAAGCTCCTACTATGTTTAAACAAACATATGTTACATCATATAGACAGTGATGCTATCATTACAAAGATAGTTGCTTGCAATGTGGTAACTTGTTTGCATCAGTTTCTACAGTTAGAAAATGAGAAAAAAGACAAAAAACACACATATTTATTAATATTTTGAAACTATTACTCAACTAACTTTAAAAAATAGTAAAACAATATGTGATTATTACTATCAAGAATATAAATATGGAATACAAAACATTTAATGAAACTTTTAAAATTAGTTTGAAACTTTCTATTTCATATAAAGATGATGCTTACCTGATCACACCCAAGTATAATTTTTCTTTATCATTGGTATTTGCTTTCGGATTCTTGAAAAGGTGATACATCTTGAATGAAGACATAAAAATACTGAATGTTAACATTTTCCTTACTTGAAAATCTATTTCTGATAAATACTCACCTCCTCACACACAAATGCTATTTCCCTCATGCACCTGCCTATGAAATTTGTATGCTACTAGCTTTGAGCTAACTCCCACCTAAATTCACCTGTTTAAAGTCTAATTTTTGTATTGGCCCTTCCACCATTTCAGTGTTGGATTCTACTATTTCTGTGTATTTGTGTAGAGGTGAGTTAACATTTTACTATTCTGAAAATGTATTTTCCACACATATTCTCACCTGTCCAACCAAGTTTTGGTGTACCTTGTGTTTTGTTTTTTGCCTTTTCTAAAAATGAAATTAACGTATCGTGAGTGCAAGTGCATAGGGGGAGTTACTGAGCATGGAGGTTCTGTCATCCTCCTATTAGTGGAGGGCTATTGTTCAATAATAATGTCATCATGCATCAGCACAGCTCATGTCAAATACATGAATTTAGGTGGGAATTAGCTCAAGGATAATAGCATGCAAGTCTCATAAGCAGACACACGAAAAATATAGCATTTCTGTGCATGAAAGTGAGTTACCATCTTGGAAATAACGATTTTGATTAAAGCTACAGTTAGTTTGTATCTTTCTTCCATAGACTTAAATTATTAACATTTAAGAAAACTGTTGAGCTGCACATGCAAACATTTATCTTAAAACAATGGTGATGGAATATAAAATCAAATCAATAACAAGCAGATATCTATACCATTCCTTAGAAGAAACTATTTTTCTTGCTAAGTGTTATAAAATGTTGGTCATTAAAGAATCACTCTAAAATTACACAAGATATCCCACTTACAGGAATATCATAAAACTTGGAAGTACAAGTTGTTTCATCTGTGTCATAGAAGATAACTGTCACGCCAACCAGTATTCATAATACTGATGATTAAAAGACTAAACAACAAAAAAGGAATGTTTCACAGCAATAAACTTCAACATTTTTACTCATAAATCATTTGAAGTAGCTGGTAATCCATTGAATAAAATGCTCAGTATTGAAATAAAGTGGAAATGCTCTTTCATCAGCATATGTAATTTTTTTCTGCTGTATCTACTAAGTAAAAATATATAACTTCAAGTGCTCAAAGTAACTCTCATTTTACACTTTTTAGCCAACCAGTAAATAAACTTTATCCAGAGCAATGCTCTACATTTCAGTTAAACTACAGATGAAGTTTAGTTCTTTGTGTAGAATGCTTTACAGATTCTTAAAAGGACTGAACTTGTTTACAATCAGCACAAATAGTAAGGTAATAAATACATTGGTCATCTTTTTGTTAAATTAAACAGGTAGCTGTCATTTTATAAAATAACTTAAATATGAATAAAATGTAGTTCACAAGGAAAAAACAAAACCCTAAACTGAAATACTGCAATGTATATGTTGTTTTCAGGTCATTATTGTGGATTGTACAAGAGTAGCTTTCAACAAAATACACATTTAACTGGCATTTTCAGTAATCAAAATCTAATTATGTGGTGAAAAAGTCCTGTTGGATTTGTGTAGTTTATATTATGATGTAATTTCTTTTTATATGCTTTTGAACTACTATTTAAGCAATGGTATTTTGAATCATAATGAATTACAGATACCCAGAATTGGAGCTTTGAAATAAAAAACAATACAGAACATAAAGATCCTTCCCTGAGAAAGGAATGGTAAAACATTTTTCATTGATGAGTGGTGTCAAGTAAGTATTTTTGACATTTATTTAACAAATAACACATGTATCACCTAAGCAGTGCAATAAGATGTCTTCTCGTACGACTCTGAAGAAGACACATGAAAGTGTCAAAACTAGTTTCCGAGACATTATTTTTATATTTTATTCTAAAGTGTGGTATATTTTTTTACATTTTTACTTTTCTCATGGATAAGTATGCAAAGACAGCCTTGAAGGCCCAAGTGGTCCCTCGTTGTTCGTATGTTATACGATAGCATTACTGTCAACAGCGTAGTGTTTTTCTAAAATAACTTGAATTTGATGAAATGACAAGAGGATTGTAATTGTAAATATATTTATAGGGCTAATATTATAATGAAAATAGTACTACTATTACTAAGTACTAACATACGACATTAGAGCATAATCATATATGAAAATACATCAGGTTAAAATCCAAGGAACTTAATAATTTGCCCATAACTTATATACCTTACCTTAATAAAACTAAAAGTTAAGCACAAGTTATTGTAACTTACGTTTGTAACCAGTGTTAACCTATACTAAGCCTAAAAAGCACCATCGTCAAGTTAAACTTGATATACTAATACTATCACTATCTCTTTCCCTTTCACTGTTTCAGCGAGTTTCACTATAATTTTGAAAATGTTTCAATCAAATCTACGACTAGCTAAAGTAAACCTGTAGTTTTATTTCTATCTCTTAATCGTTTGACTTTCATACAAATTGTATTATAACAAGGTGTCATCAAATTACACCTAAGCTTAAGTTAATTTACAAGTTAGAGCAAGAGTAAAGAAGCTTACCGTCTTTCGACATTTTTCAGTACCAATTTTTTCGTATCCACTTATTCACACCTCGATCCTATTTAATTTAGTAATAGCAGTACTAAACTATCACAATACTGATAAATTTTTATGTAAAAATAACAATTACTAAGTTTCAAATAACATTATTTTACTAATTTACTGGTAATTAGTGATTTGTGCTAATCATCTACAGAACGATATTTCCCGTAACATCTTGATAACGAGGAACCCACTTTTTACAAAACGTTTATTCCCGTAACATCATTGATCTGAAGTATACTTTCAATTTTTCTTAATAAGTATTGATAATTTGATAACATATACGCCAAAGGCTAAAAACCTTAATTGCATTACTCACTTTACTCAAATAAATCATTCTTTCACGTTTTTTTTTTTTTTGTATATTTTATGATAAAATTTTCTATTTTTTGTGGAAACGCAGGGGACTAATAATAATATACACAATTTTATTAGATAATTGATTACTTGGACTCTCCAGTTTCCAATGGTACATTGAATAGTTTTCAAGCTAAATATAATAATGGCAGATTTAATCACTTGATGCGGTGTTAGTTTCGTCTATACACTATATGTATAGTGTATATAAAATGCAATAAATACAACTAACTCTCAGTTTTCGTTCATAAAAACGCGACAGTAATTGCTTCTCTTTATTCTTTTGCACTGAACGAGTTCTTGGTAAGAAGAGATTTTGCTTGGTATTCATTATATGATGTAGCAACAAAAAACCTGTTTTTGAAGTGCCGTATTTCCAATTAGGCGAACTGGACACTTGCCGAGAGCCCATCAACTCAAAACTGTGGATGGACAATCCCCTTCCTCTCCCCCCGAGTAATTGAGCGTTAAGTCAGAAGGCTTATGATGCTAAAAATTGCGTTTCGATATTCGTGGTGGGCGCAGCACATATAGTCCACTATGTAGCTTTGCGCTTAATAACATTAACAACAACCAAACCAATGAATAATATTTTTTTTTACAAATCTATAGTTCTGATGAAAAAAAGATAGCAAAAGTAAAATAGGTGTTGCGTCAGCGAGATCACGTGACTATTCTCACGCCCTCTGCTTTTTAGAACTATCCTGTACCT